AAATGACTTTGATATGTGAAACCACTGAAGTGCCCCTTTAATTAGGAGTTCTTAACCCACTCGTGAGCACGATGACTTGAAATATAGATTTAAAGGGAGCGGATGAAAAATAGATCAGAACTTTACGATTCAGATTAGCTCTCAAGGGGGGTTTAATAACAATTAAGAAAAGAGCAGACACAAAAGCATCTCTCCTTCAATTGGTTTAAAGCCCAGAAGTCAATTTGTCTTTGACTGCATCATCCTTTCCTTTGTTCTTTCAATAAAGGGTAGTACTTGTGTTGCTGCAATATTTCATTTTCTTGTGATGCAGACATTCTGCAGGGCTGTACCTTCATAGAGAAATCAATCTCTAAGCACATTTTGCTGAACCCCCGTGGGCACCGCTATTGGTTTGGAAAGCCTCCGTCGGCTGGTGTGTTAGGTCAGGTCTTATATTGTTGTGTGTGTGTATGTGTGTGACAGAGTGGCTGTGCTCAAGAAAGAGAAAGAGAACAGCACAAGCCCTCTGTTCTGTGTGTTTAATAATGCCACAGTAGGGTTTTTCCACCCTCTAAGGAAAGCCTCTTTCCAGGTAAACAACACAATACGCTGTCAGGAAACACGGACCAGAAAGGACAGCGTGTCTCATTTGGTCTGAGTCGATGACAAAATGATTTCTGCCATTTGGAAGTGACAGAAGTGTGAAAACCAGTGCAGGAGAGTCTGAACTTCAAGTGTCACATGGCATCAAGTCACAGAGAAGCTGCACAGAATCTGGAAAAATAAGGTCTATAATGGACCTTGAAGCATTTTCATAAACCGATTCTTCTGTCCATTAATGCAAGCTTGCAAAGGCGAGACAGAAAAATAAGCACTAATAATGGCTTTCCATAGGAGCTGGAAATGAAATTGATCATTCTGCGTGACCCCCCTGAAATTGGATTTTTATGAAAGCCTCCTAGGACTCTATAGTGTACCCATTCTCTATAAAATGGCGAGAGGAAATATGCTTTTAAAGAGAGAGAGCCGCAACTCTTTTAAAGTACTTGTCACTTGTGCGTGAAGTCGATATGAACAGGGGTCTGGGCTGTTGTGTGCTATAGGCACGGTGCGGCATCTTCTTCTAAATTTGAGCGAGAGATATTCGATTAAAATTGCATGACAAGAGCCAGAAGTGAAACAAGCCAAGCTGTCAAACAAGTCTCAAGAGGAGGATGATAAGGTGTGAGCACATTTCCTTCCCAAACTCTAGAGGATTACAAATAAATAAAAAAATAAAAATAAAAACAACTGGAGGAAAAAAGTAAAAAGAAGAAAAATATCTTTTACTGCTAATGTTTATAGGAGTGTCATCTTCAGTTTGGGCCACGTTGTGTGAGTGGGAGGATTTGATGTGTACTCTAACTAAATTGGCCTATTCTCCAAACGTTGGCACATCCATCTGCTGCTTCATGGCTGGGCTCCAGAGGCTCCGCAATGAGCAAAAATTTAATTTAGGGTGATTAGGAATGGCTCAGGGACGGTGCAGGGGGAAACAGGGGACGGAGAGATTTGTTTCTATACCTCGTGTTTGAAGCCCTGGTCCACAGGTCTCTTGTGCACCCGGAGTGTCCTGTCTGAGAAACCAGGTGACCAGCTGGCACTTCCTCCATTTGTGGGTTTTCCACCTAGAATAAATAAAATAAGTACATACATATAATTGCTACAATAATATTCATTAACACAGCAGCATCTTGCAAAGCACCAGGTCAGAGTCTGAATAGAATAAACTCATGTACAGCACAGTAATGCTGTGTTCTGCCCACACAGTATCAGCCCAGTTAAGGCCACATCTGGATGAGGTATTGCATTGGAAATAGAAAGCATGTCCCACTTGACAGCTAACGGTTTTGTCCTGCATGACATGTCATCATGAATGAAAACCAACTCTGCATCTGGAAAACCTCATGACTTTCCAACAGAAAGACAAACATGCTATGAGGTTGACCAAAAGGAGCAATAAGTGCTGCACCAGCTGTCTCGTTGTACAGGCGTAAACATGATAAAATACAACTGAAGCGATGCAGTGTAGCTAGGCAGAACTGTGAAAAGCAAAACAGCCTTTATGATACGCACTGCTTTGGTTGCTATGGTTGGTTTACATTATTTCCGTTAATTATCACCTACTTCTTAATGATTAGCACACCGTGAAAGCACACAGGACTGATCTGGAAACATCACTTGTCGTGTCTCTCAGCACTGAAAAGAAAAAATTGCACATCTAGGAAATGTGTTGTGAAAATAAGAGAAAAGGTCTGCCTGACCAGACAGGTAACAGTGATTTGTGCTGATAAAACAATTACACTAATGAAAAGGCACGATTATGACTCACACAGCCACAGCAGCTGTTCTACAGGTACAAATCTAATCAAGTCTGAGCACAATGAGGCTGAGTGATTTGAGAAAAATATGCCATTTCCAACTTTTCAGATATAGTGCACACATCATTAAATGTTATCTGGTCACTACTTCAAACAAGGAAAATGTACATAACCTATTTTTATTTATTTACTTTTTAAATCTGAACATTTAAATGTATTGAAAATAATCTGTTTTGGTTGAAAATAACCATTACATCCGATTGTGGGCCTTGAGGCAACATTTTGGCACTTATATTGGCACCATATAAATGAATCTGAACTGAAAGCCTTACACACAGTGTGCCTGCACGAATAAAAGTGAAATTCATAGACTGATGCAGAGTGGCTGCAGAATAACCAACTTAGAATAACATAGGATTGCTGGATAGCAATTGGCAGTAAAATAAACACTGGTGTTGCTGACTGTGCCGTATGAAAAGAGAAAGTCTAAATAAAGAGTAAAGTATAAAGGGGTCTGTGCTGTTGGTTGAATTTGTATTCTTCACACAGTATCAGGGAAGGGTCTCATTAAACAACCATGCACATACATCCAGAGTCTTGCAACAGGTATGTCTGCTGCCACCACCTAACCATGATGTCACCATCAGAGAGTTAATCTGGAATTACATGAAGAGACAGAAGACAAAGACAGTCTAAACCCACAGAAGACCTGCGGTGCTGCTTCAAAGGAAAAAGGATAGATGCTGATCTTTTGGGGTCTTTTTTGTCTTTATATGATGTTTATTCATCAATAACAGCTACTTGCAGCAGCACTTTTGAACTACTTTTAATCCTGCCTTTGCTTTTTGTCTTTTTTGTGTAATGCATTCTTGTATTGACCATGAAATCATGCTTCATCATCACTGTAATATGCACATGCAAAACAAAAAAGCGCATGGCTATTAAATATGAACAAGCTTAAAATATGTTATTGTATTTTGCATAACAACCTCCTTTGCATAGGTCCTGTTATACTCGACTATGTTATCACAAGTGTCAGCTTTTCCGCATATTGTGCAGGCCAATACACAGGAGTGCCCAAACCTACTTCCTTTGTAAGACTTTAAAAGTATGGTAGTGATCAAACATTTATTTTGCAAAATTAGAAATTTTTGGGCAGCACAGATGGAGGACATTTTTCTAAAAAGTCCACCCCTTTTGTCCTCAGACACAGCAATCCAATCTGTCCGTTTCAATTTTACTTAGTACACGCAACAAATAAAAAATGCCTCTCCTCCTCTGATATTGTGTGTCTTTTGGGCTAATGGTTCCTGAACATAAGTTTGCACACAGGGATCTTTGTCTTTTGTTAAAATTGCACTCGACATGACATTTTCAATCTGTGACAGCTGAGATAGGCTCCCCCTCCCCCCGTGACCTTGACGTGGATAACAAGGAGAAAACAAATGGATGAGCTTCTATAATGAAACTCTTCTTTTTGCTTCACAATTTTTCTTTATATCATAAGTCAACCTAACATTTTACACTATATGCAGGTGATAAATTGCTTCTAATTCCCTCAGTATCACAAAGTAATCTGTTCTGGAGAATGAATGACAAGTTGCTTGAATAAAATACCAATTTTAACTCATGACCCCAGAGATGTCAATGTGCAATGTCCCGGTATCTTTTAAGTAAGTTTCTGATCTCGATAATTCTGCTCTGAAGCATTCGACGCTTCCCTTTGCACACACTTGCCTTTATTCACTGCAGAGCCCAATGCTCTAACCAGTGATTGGACTAGAAAACTGACAGTTTCTTTAAATGTCATGTGCTCATCCAGCCTTAAGACAACATATTTTTACTTCTAATCAGAACACGACAGCTCCATTGATCCAAGATTACAATGTACTCACTTCTCTCCAACTATTTATTTTTTAGAATCTAAAACATACTATTTGTTTTTTAACTTCTATTTCCAGCACATTCCACAAAAATGCAGCATGAGCTGTCAAGTGCATCTAAGCCATTTGTTATGTCGCACTCACATCCTGAGTAAGCACAATGTTGCTCATGTCAGCCCATGTTTTTTATAGATATGCCCATAAAAGTCTTTATAACAATATATCTTTTTTTTTTATAAAGACAAAGAAACACCTTAAAGTCAGATATGATAATAAAAACTATGTTAATGATGTTGGCTAATAGTGCTAACATTAGCTTTACAAGCTAAAAAGATGAACAACTTAAAAGCCATAAAAATCTGAAGATTTGTTTGTTTTTAGGGCTTAAAACATTAAAATGAAGTGGGAATGAAGTTTAATCAACGACTTTACCAACCCCTTTCTAACTAGTGATTCAAACACCTTGATACAGTCGATGTATATTCATTGACTGTATTCAAGCCAGTAAAAATCAATTCTGGGTTAAATAAATCAATAAATGATTAAAAAAAAATAAAATAAAATAATTTATGCCCCAGATATGGAGGTATAATAAGAAACAAACAAAATAAATAAAAATGCAAAAATCAAGTAAAAAAAAAAATAGAAAGTTCACAAACTGTCCTTTAATTACAGTAAAAACATGAAAAACTAACATTTGTGGATAAACAAACATTTGTGGTTGCACAACAGCTGACAAGAAGAGACTACAGAGGGTCATCAGAACTGCAGAGAAGGTGATCGGCTGTCCACTCCCCTCCCTGGACTTAATTGCCAGCTCAAGATGTCTCTCCAGAGCCAGGGCAATTATAAAGGACCACCTCCATCCTAACCACCACCTCTTCAACATCCTGCCCTCTGGAAAAAGGCTCAGATCCATCAGGTGCAAAACCAACAGACTAAAAAACAGCTTCTTCCGGTGGGCTGTCAGAACTCTTAATGCAAACTAAGAGTGTGTAAAGACTTCCCCAACACATCCACCCTGACACTGCTGTTGATCATCTATGTGCAATATCTCAGTCTTTCCATGTTCTGTGCAATAGTTTTGGCTCATGTGCAATTATGTTGGTCCCAGTCTGTTTCAATGTTTCCTACACATACACCATGTATATAGTTCCACTCACATATGTATACATATGTGAGTGGAATGTGTGCGTGAATGGGTGGATGACTGGATATGTAAAGCGCTTTGGGGTCCTTAGGGACTAGTAAGGCGCTATATAAATACAGGCCATTTACCATATACACGTTTTTTTATTTTATTCTATTTATTTATTTTCCGCCTTCGTTGTATATTGGTTTCTCTTCTTACTTTAGCACCTTTGTGGTTCAGCTACCCAATTTCGCTGTGCAAGAAACTGCACAATGACAATAAAAAGCTCTAAGTCTCTAAACAGGTGAAGTTCAGTTAGGATCTGTAAGCAAACTAACACTTGGGAGTTTTCAAGAGCTGCATATTAAATCATATAAAAGTTACATCGTTGTGAAATAAAACATCAGGTTGTCATAGCTAGAGCGGTTACATGTCTAGTCAAGCATCATAGTCCCTCTTCAGTTATAGTTACATGATGCAAAGTGCTGCATATTTCAATGGCATTTTAAACATGATTTCACTGATAACTTATTAAACACAAAACATGTGTTCTAGTTTTGTTTTTTGTTTTTTTAGCTTTTTAAAGGCTCTTAAACTACACACAAACTATTTGTTTGGCCAGTATTTACAGTCATCCATTACAGTGTGCTCAGTTTAGAAACGTTTTTTTCTGTTGTTTAATCAACGAGTCACCAGGACGATACCTGCTCACCACAAAGATAGAATCAAGATGGTTGCAGCACCTTGTCACCATAATAAAGGATAGCACAGCTACATGGCACAGCTCGGTTTATATAACCAGAATATCCAGGTTTCTTTATCACAGAGTAAAACCCTGCTACCACTTATTGCTTTTTTGTCATATTTAATCAAACTGTGTAGACTTTCACCTTTATTTTCACACTTTTTTGAATAACATTTATTAGAAAAATGTAAAGGAAAAAAGTTAAATTGCGGTGGAAAAAAGATTTCCATTTATATTCTAAGATAAACTCTCGGCATCACAGAAAGGTCACAGTCTGAAATTAATAAACTGGATTATTGGATTCCCCCCCCCCCTAATTTTTCCTGATAAAACAACCTCGTTCTCAGTTTTCATCACTAAACTATTCATTTCTGACCAAAGGCTTTGATTTGAACACAAATTAAAGCCAAAGAGACTGATGAGACTGGCATAGATATCCAATAAGACAAAACACGGACATTATTTTACTTTATCTCATTAGTTAGTCCATAACTTACATTTATTTTGTCTCTCATGGTGGCAAACAAGGAGTTAACAAGAAAGTGTGCACCTATAAATAAACACATGCAGCTGGTATTTTGAGAGGTGGGAGCAGAAAGTCAGACTGACAGCGTTTGCAGGTGTAGAGAAAATCTGTATCTTTATATCATAGTTGAATCTTTTGATGTTTGTTAAATATTCTAATAAATTATTAAATAAAAACTTGGCTGTTTGGGCTGTTGGTTTGTATTTTGGCTTTTTAGGGCTGCAAGTGAAAACCATTTAAACACAAAAGTAGAGCATAGAACAAAAAAACAACAACAACAAAAATGTGTGCAATGAGCCTCAAGGTTTAAACATTTTAAAACCCACGGGTACATTGTCCATGTGACAAAACATTCAAACAGCAACAACAGTGTTTGTCGACACCTGAAGGCGGCTGTCGTGCGCTTACCTGAAACCGGGACAGATTTTGGGGACCTCGCAGTCCCTCTCTTCTTCGAGCACCTCTGGACATTCCTGCCCTCCGTTGGATGGCATCTGGATGATAAGACGTTTCCTTGATTGCTTTTTCTTCACAGCAACACCAGCTGAAGGGACGCAGACAATTAATGAATTAAATTAAGAAATATGTATGGAAAAGTGATGAGAAAAATGTCAAAATGATAAGCTGACTGCTCTGTTAATAGTCCTTGAAGAATGGACTCGGAGATTGCAACTGCCAATTCTAATTGGACAGCTAGCGTCAAAAGCGCACACTTGTGATTACTGGGGAGATCAAGCCAACAACGATGATGCGGAAAAATCCCATTAGACCTTGGAACTGACTCAGATTAAATTTATGGTATTTACATGTGTGGCGATGCCCTCGAGTAGTTCATTAAGTTGAAACAAGCCTCTGGATAGCCCTATACCCTGCTTCAAACCTTTCTACGTGGGCGGCGTGTAATTCTCTGCACAAGGTTAAGATATCAACAGCATCAAATTAAAATGCACTGCCACCAGTAAAGCATGCTTAGACCAAAGCGATTTATGCCACCGTGTCACAGGTGGAGGTCATCAAAATACGGATGATAATGATTTTCAGTCGTAAATCAACTTAATGTTTTTGCCACCACTCAACAGCTTGGGCAATGGCCGCCTGACGAAGGTGACTTCATCTGAAAACGTCTTCCTTTCACCGCTTCAAAACAACAACACCGACCACTCTCTGGCAAGCAGACTTGCCAGGCCCACTAACGGAGGTCAGCCCAAATGTTGTCCTACATGCCAGTCTATCAAATTAATGATCTGTAACGAGGCATGAGTGCATGTGTTTATGTGACAGTCATTGTCTTCAGCTCAGTGTAGGCCAACCCAACTCTAGAGTTGTTGCACTTAGTCAATTAAAATTAGCTTCTGTGTTTTCCATTTTGTTATCTTTTATTATTATGTTATTACCGGCATATTATTGTCACCTCTCAACTATGATTGGAAATGTTGTGACTATCCTGAAACCACCAAGGCCTGACTGACTGAATAAAGTACTTTTTACAACGTAGAGGAGTTTGGCACAACTTCACCCACTTCCAAGAAAATCTAAAGAGGTCCAGCAACATTTTCGGTATAAAGAACAATTTAATGATTCGACCAGTTTATTTCGGCTTGCAGCCTTCATCAGGGCAAAACATATTACAGACCACATTTTAAAAAGCAAAAAAATTAAACAACCAATCACATATGTTCACGTATGTGCTCATCCACCAACCAGACACCAGCAAGGAGGCTAGGCCATGTGGTCATGTGGTATAAAGCCAGTCTTGGAGAGTGTCCACTATAAAACATAAAACCTGGGTCACACCCTGTTTAGCATTTAAACAGGACAAATCTAAATGAAGGGCAGTGTTTTAAGTTTTCCCCATCAATGTCATATACAACCAGTACAAGTGACACAAAAACAAAAAATAGAATGAATAAAAGTAAGATGTATGTAGATGCTTATTATTTAAAAGTACAAGCTAAGAAAATGTAAAAAAAATAAGAGAAAAAAAACATGAGAATGAAATTAAGGATACATCATGAAAATACAATACCATAAATAATTGAAAAATGGTTTAATGGGAAAGTTGTCGGAGAGGACTTAACTTCTTTAGACTTTATGTTCTTCTGTGTGTGCAAAGAAGCAGGGAAGTTGTGCCGGAAACTTTGTTTCTTCAATACTCTTGAATTTTTTAACAGCAGCAACAAAAGTTATCTCTGAGCATGAATCTTTGTCTTTTCCTTCATACCTGCATCACATGTAATTGGACACGTTGCCCAGTCACTGAATGGGGTCATGATACAGTCCTTCTTACAGGGCAGCTGGCATGGTCTCATTGTGCTTGGGCGAGGACCGTCTGGACACCTAAGCAAAAACAAAATCTCTTTATACATTCATCAAAACACGAGAGCAAGAAGTGTCTGTGAAGGTTCTCAGTCATCCAGGTCATCGTAGTCAAAGGAGCTTGCAAAGAAAAGCGTCTGGACTTCTTTAAGTTGCTTGAAGA